TGGATAGGATGTTAAACAGCAGCGATTGTGCTTGGTAGTTTCAACAACAAAAATATCAGAATAGATATTTGTCTTTTGAGTTCTGATATGTATTTTCTGCTGAAATGTCAGAAGCATGCCTTCCTACTTTCTGATCAACAAACTGACATTTAATCCAGGACAGGTAATTCTGGTCAACAGACCAGGAAGGCAGAACAGAGGACAGGGCCCCAGCCTCTGTTGGTGGGTTTCCACTTGACCTGGAAACAGAAATCCAGAGCTTGGATGTGCTTCTGGAGTCAGATCTAAACCTGGATGCCCAGGTTTCACTGTGGCAAAGGGTACATTTGCACAGTTAAAACTAGCCTGGCCATATAGGCAGGTACCTTAATTACATGCCATTGGGACTACTTTAAAAGTAAAGGTTTCACCTTGACATTAAGTCTAGTAGTGTCGGACTTTGGGGGGTGGTGCTCATTTCTAAGCAAGGAGCTGGCATTGTTTGTAGGGCACCTCCAAGGTCATGTGGCCGGCATGACTGCATGGAGCGCCATTACCTTTGTGCAGAAGCAGTACCTATTGATCTACTTACATCTGCACGTTTTTGGACTCCTAGGTTGGCAGAAGCAGGAGCTCACTCTGCTCCCTGGATTCGAACCACTGAGCTTTTGGTCAGCAAGTTCAGCAGCTCAGCGGTTTAACCTACTGCATCACCAGGGGCTCCTGGCTACTTTAACACATTGGAAACTGTTCAGAAATGCCATCGGGTTCAAAATGGTTGTTGACGGGGACTGGTTACAGGGATCATGTGACTTCCATGTAAAAAATGCTACATTGTCTACCAGTCCATTTCTAGGCAGAATATAAACTGCTGGTTTTGATCTTCAAAGACCTAAATAGTCCAGATTATCTGAATGATCGTATCCCCTTATATATAACCCACAATAAACATTAAGATCTAAAATAACAGTTGGTGAGAATTCAGGAAAGAGTCTTCTTTGTGGCCATTCCCAGACGATAGAACTCTCTTTCACCAAAAGTGAAAAAGTTTTTTTTATTTAGGTTGGCTTTTACATTTTAACTATGGTGCTACAGTGGAGCAGTGATTTTTAAATCTTCTATTGAAATAATGTTTTAATAATAATAATAATAATAATAATAATAATAAATTTTATTTATATCCCACGCCCTCTCTGAAAGAACTTGGGCAGCTCACAACACGTAAATATAAAATCAAGCAAGAATAAAAACAAGAAGTAAATTTAAGAAGAATTATATCACTAATCAGGAGGAAACTGGATTTTTTATTTCAAGCTGTATAGCGTATGCGTCGCCTTGAGAGAAACCGTTCCCAGACATTAAGATCTTAATCCAGTAAATTATATCTTCAGTGCTGCTTCTTGATAGACTTTTTGAAAAATGGAGGACAGAAGAAAACAAGAGCAGTTCTGCTGGATCAGAGAGAGGCCTGCCTAGTGCAGCTGCCCCATGGGGAGCACACAAACAAGACAATAATCAGGCCTTTCTCAAGCTGTCTGATGTGGCTGGCCAGCAGTTCTTTTCCCAATGCTGCAAGGACTGGTGCCCATGCTGTCCCATATTATTACTGCATTAGCAAAGTTTCCTGGAAACGCACTAAAGACTGTCAGCTGCTAACTCCTGGATTGGCACTGGTCCATAGACCATCTGAGTAGTATGGATGTAGGCAACAAACCTGGAGGTAGCATGTAGGGAATAGTTAAATGCATTACATTGAGAATATTGATTACACATTTGTGATGGCATTATGGTTAAGCATAAAAGCCCTGTGGAAGAAGAAGCCAATACTGTGGGAATAGTCCTAGATTTCCTATCAACATGCCCGATATTGTTCTATGTGGGCAGACAGCACAATCAGGATGGCACTATGCATACAAGTTTCTTTTCCTTTGCATCACAAGTTACATCTACTGAAATATCCTTTTCTATTCCATTACTTGTATCAGAGCCCTGACACTGGAGCATCCTATTCAAAAGAGCAGACATAAAAGGTAAAGGTAAAGGTTTTCCCCTGACATTAAGGGTGGTGCTCAACTCCATTTCTAAGCCGAAGAGCCAGCGTTGTCCATAGACACCTCCATGATCATGTGGCCAGCATGACTGCATGGAGCTCCGTCACCTTCCCGCCGGAGCAGTAACTATTGATCTACTCATATTTGCATGTTTTTGAACTGCTAGGTTGGCAGAAGCTGGGGCTGACAGCAGAAGCTCACGCCACTCCCTGTATTCGAACTGCCAACCTTTCGGTCAGCAAGTTTAGCAGCTCAGTGGTTTAACCCACTAAATCAGTGGGGGCTCTAGAGCAGACATACACACACTGATATATGTGGGTGTATCTACTGATATAGATGCACAGGGAAACTTTGGCCCTCCAGTGGTTTTGGACTTCAACTTCCAGAAATCCCAACCAGCTTATTGGCTGTTAGGAATTGTGGGAGTTGAAGTCCAAAATACCTGGGCGGCTGAAATTTGCCCATGCCTGATCTACACTGTAGAATCAATGTAGTTTGATACCACTTTAATTGGCATGGCTTGCTGTTAAGGAATCCTGGGATTGTCATCAGCATTCTTTGGCAAAAGACCTTGTAAAACTACAGTTCCCAAGATTCTGTAGCACTGAGCTGACTGCACTCTACACTGCAAATGTTCCCAGAGTTAAGCAAGAGATAGACAATCTGCAAAAAGTATAATATTATAGCAAAATGCCACTCTAAAAAAGATAAAACTTCTATCATTCTAAAACTATAATCAGCCATAATGGACTAACAGGATAGAAAACAATGAAAACTTCCAACTCAGCTAGCCAGAGTTGCCAGCTTTATGGGGCCCCTTCCACACAGCTGAATAAAACCCCACATTATCTGCTTTGAACTGGAATATATGGCAGTATGGACTCAGAAAACCCAGTTCAAAGCAAGATATTGTGGGGTTTTCTGCCTTGATATTCTGGGTTATATGGCTGTGTGGAAGGGCCTTGGGAGATCCAAACTCAAGTCTTGCTCAATTTGGGTCTTAAGCAAAACTGAAAATAAATATAAACTAAAATACAGGCGATGTTGCTGAGTGTGCACATCTGGAATACTAAAATAAATGTATATGCATTGATTCCAGTCTTAGAGTCCTTCCACACAGCCCTATATTCCAGAATATCAAGGCAGAAAATCCCACAATATTTGCTTTAAACTGGGTTATCCTTCCTCACAGCCCTATATCCCAGAATATCAAGGCAGAAAATCCCACATTATCTGAGTGTGGACTCAGATAACCGAGTTCAAAGCAGATATTGTGGGATTTTCTGTTGTCTTGATATTCTGGGATATAGGGCTGTGTGGAAGGGCCCTGAGTCCACTCTCAGATAATGTGGGATTTCCTGCCTTGATATTCCAGGATATAGGGCTATTTGGAAGGGCCTCCAGTCTTAAAGGTGAGCAGTACTTTCAACTCTTAGCCTAGCTGAGCGAGAAAGAAAGGATGCTGCCTTCTGCTCCTTTGCTGTTGTCATTCCCGTCTTGTGTCGGCAGAGGTCTTCCGGGAAACATGGTCACCAGGCGCTTAGCAACCAGCCGGGAAAGGCAAAGGGATAGACGTGCTCCACCTGTCCCCAAACCTAAGTATCCACCCCTCTTTCCTTCCCTCTGGTACAGATGGAGCTATGAAGGCATTTGTAGAAAAGTTTCTGTTTCTAAAAAAAACACCAAAGCCACCACATCTTTGGCAGGCAGTGACTTTTACAGGATTTCCAAGGTTTAAGGAGGGGGAAAGATCCAAAAGAAGACCTTGCAAAGCTACAACACCCATTATTCCATAGCATTATGTAAGAGCAGTTTTTTTTTTTCATGTCAGGAGCGACTTGAGAAACTGCAAGTCGCTTCTGGTGTGAGAGAATTGGCCTTCTGCAAGGACGTTCCCAGAGGGTGCCTGGATGTTTTGATGTTTACCATCCTTGTGGGAGGCTTCTCTCATGTCCCCGCATGGGGAGCTGGAACTGACAGAGGGAGCTCACTCTCCCCAGATTCAAACCTCTGACCTGTCGGTCTTCAGTCCTGCTGGCACAAGGATTTAACCCATTGTGCCACCGTGGGCTCCTGCAGCTGTTCAAGTGTTGTCAAAGTGCATTAATAATAATAATAATAATAATAATAATAATAGTAATAATAATAATAATAATAATAATAATAATAATAACTTTATTTATAGACTGCCCTTTCTGCCCAAAGGGACTCAGGGCAGAGTACACATGCAAAACGCAAAGATTTCAATGCCTCAGGTGAGTACAAACATATCAAAGCAATACACAATAAAGCAACAGTGATAACAGTAAGGTTACGACAAAGAATTCAGCATTGTGATGAAAAATAAAACAAAACAATCCAAAAAACATACTTAACTAAAACATAAAACATTAATCCAACATTGTAGGTGCATTTCTGTTAGGAAGACAAAAGGGAAAGATCAAAAAGGGGGATTCCAGTGTGTGCTTTTGGAGAGGCGAAAGGTGCATCTACACAACGGACTTATTGCATTCTGACACTACTTGAACTTGCCATTGCTCCATGCTATGGGATCCTGGGAGTTGTGGCTTCCCGAGGCACCAGAGCTCTCAGCAGAGAGGGCTGAAGACGTTGTCAACTGGCAACACCTAGGATCCCATAAACCACCCATGGCAGCTCAAGGGCTGTCCAACGTTTTTAAGCAGAGGCTGGATGGCCATCTGTTAGGGGTGCTTCGAAGCAATTTTCCTGCTTCTTGGTAGAGGGTTGGACTGGGTGGCCCAAGAGGTCTCTTCCAACTCTATGATTCACAGTGGAAAGGGGAAAAAAGAAAGGATCAATAAGAAGAATTCAAGGGTGTGCCTTGGGCTGTACCTAGAGAAGATATGGGCCAGCTTGGACCCTCCTTCCTCACCCCCACCATTCTCCTCCCATCAGTGGGTCGCACTACAATAGAGGGAAAGAAGAGGAAAGCAAAGCAGCCTCTCTTACTTGTCTCCATGCGCCGGAGTTTCCAGCCCAGCTACAAGTGAGCTCTCTTCCACCTGCCAGCTCCCCGACTTTCTTTTCTTTTCCCCCAAGCTGGGCGTTCAAAGTCCGGCTGCTCCTCAGAAGAGGGTCCAAATGGGGAGCGGGCACCTCCTCTTCCTCCTCCTCCTCCTTGGCCGCGCCCGCACCCTGGGGACCAAGCCGCCTCTGGCGATGGCGAGGCGAGGAGGCGAGGGCGCGGCTCCTCTGCGGGGAGCGAGGCTGTCTGAGCTGGGCTCTCGGTCTCCCTGCCAGGAGGAGGAGGAGGAGGAGGAAGCAAGGCAGGGGAGGGGGCTGCCAAGGCGGCGTCAGAGGGGGAAATCTCCTCCAGGAAGGGGAGGAAGGAAGCAAGCAAGCCACGCGGAGGGGAGGATCCTCCTCTCGCGCACCGGAGAGATGAGAGAAGAAGGGAGGCACCCAACATGCCTGTTGAGCCAAACCCACAGGAGGCAAAGCACCATTCCCCTGGATGCTTAAGGAATCCAGGGAAAGGGCACCATGGCCGGGTTGACCATAGACCCCTTTGAGTGAGGCCAAGCTATACCACTCTCAGGGGCTCCCCCCAATCCAAGATTTGGCCATTGAGCCAAAGTGGGAGGAAACTTTTCCAGTGTCAACAAAGAGGAAGTCTTCCAAATAATGGATGTCTGTCTGTCTGTCATCTATCTATCTATCTATCTATCTATCTATCTATCTATCTATCTATCTATCTATCTATTTATTTATCTTCTATATCTTCTATATAAATAAAAATGTAATGTTTGTGGGATTAACATAACTCAAAAACCACTGGACGAATTGACACCAAATTTGGACACAAGACACCTATCAGGCCAACAAGTGACCATCACTCATAAAACACTGAAAAACACAGCAGAAGAGACTTAAAAAGCCAAAAAACAAAAAAAACATTACAACACATGTGCAAACCCACATATATACACATATACACAAATATATGTGGCAGGGGACAGCTAGTAGATCTACATATGATATGCTATAATGCTGAATGAGTACCAGGTTGCTCTGTGACCCAATGGCTCACCTTCCCTCCTACTTACCGCTCCAGGATAGAAGTCTATGCGGAAGGAAGGAAGGAGAGAAGGAAACAAAAGAGAAAAAGATAGGGAAGGATGGATGGATGGTGGATGGATGGATGGATGGATGGAAAGGAAGGGAAGGAAGGAAGGAAGGAAGTATGAAAAGAGGAAGAGAAGAGGAAAAAGAGAAGGAAGAGGAAAGAAAAGAGAGGGAAAGAGAAGAAAGAAAAAGAGGGAGGGAAAGAAGGAGAGAAAGAAAGGAAAAAAGAGGGAGGAAAGGTTTGGCCACAGTCACTCATAAAAACACTGAAAAACACAGTGGAAGAGACTTAAAAAGCCAAATAAATAAATAAATACATTACAACGCATGCGCATAACCACATAAATACACATATACACAAATATATAAATGCACACATATACACACACAAAACAAATATATACAGACTGGGCCACAGCAACGTGCGGCAGGGGACGGCTAATCTATATAAATAAAAATGTAATGATCGTTTGTGGGATTAACAGAACTCAAAAACCACTGGACAAATTGACACCAAATTTAGATAGAATACACCTATTAAACCAAGGAACGACCACTCAAAAAACTTGATTTTGTCATTTGGGAGTTGTAGTTGCTGGGATGTATAGTTCACCTACATTCAAAGAGCATTCCGAACTCCACCAATGATGGAATTGAACCAATCTTGGCACACAGGATTCCTATGACCAACAGAAAACACTAGAAAACACAATATTGAATGCAATATTCCTGCTTCTTGGCAGGGGGTTGGACTGGATGGCCCATGAGGTCTCTTCCAACTCTTTGAATTTATTATTCTAAGGGTTTGGTGGACATTGAAGCTCTGATTCTAAATCTGTAGATTGTTGCAATGCTCAAGTGAGAAAATTAGTTATTCCTGGAGCCCCCGGTGTCACAGTGGGTTAAACCGCTGAGCTGTTGAACTTGCTGACCAAACGGTTGCAGGTTCGAATTTGGGGAGCGGCATGAGCTCCTGCTGTTAGCCCCAGCTTCTGTCAACCTAGCAGTTGAAAACATGCAAATGTGAATAGATCAATAGGTAGGAAGATAATGGCGCACCATGCAGTCATGCTGGCCACATGTCCTTAGAAGTGTCTACAGACAACGCTGGCTCTTTTGCTTAGAAAGGGAGATGAGCGCCAACCCCCAGAGTCAGACACGACTAGCCTTAATGTCAGGGGAAAACCTTTACCTTTACCTACTTTTAGTAAGTATGGAATGTGTTTCCTTGCATTCCAATATTAGCTGTAGGCACAAACCAAGTATAACACAAGTTTGTGCTTTTTGAAAGAATGGCAGATTGGTATAGGCTGAGAATTCCTTTTCCAAAATACTTGGCCCTAGCAGTATTTTGGATTTCTATTTTCCAGCTTTTGGAATACCTGTATTTGCACATACACACAAAATGAGATCTTGGAGATGGGTCTCTGGACTAAACGCATGGGTCCTGATTGTTTCCTGTGCACTTTATACACATAGCCTGAAAGTAAACTTATGCACAGCATTTTAAATCATTTTATGTATGGAACAAATCTGGTGCACATTGAACCATCTGAAATCAAGTGTTTTGATATCTCCCAATTTCATGTCGACACGTGTGGATTTGGGAGTATTTCAAATTTTGGAATTCTGGATAAGGATGCAAACCTGTGCATAATTATTTATCTGATTGGCCATTACAAGATTGCCTGCCTTCCTTTTTTTTTTTTTTTTTTGTTTTTTTTTTTTTTTTTTTTTTTTTTTTTTTTTTTTTTTTTTTTTTTTTTTTTTTTTTTTTGTTTTTTTTTTTTTTTTTTTTTTTTTTTTTTTTTTTTTTATTACTTTTTTCAAACAACTTGGTAGGCTGTTTTGAATTCCAAAAACAAGTAACGTCCAGGGACTTTTCATTACAGGCAACAGTAATTGATGCTGAGTAAAATGGTGTCTTCCCCTTTGTCTTCTCTAACTTGGATACATTCCACCTTTGTCTTTTTATTTCAATTTTAAAAAAAAAAAACAAAAAATTAAAAAAAAAAACAACAAAAAAAAAAAAAATAATAAACAGAAGTCAATTTAAAAAAAAAACAAAAAACACAACACCCTAAACAACAATTAAAACACCTGCTGCGCTGACACCTACTGTTGCTATTATATGGCTAAGGGGCTTATATGGCTGAATTCGTCGCCGCTTTAATTTCCCAATTCTCTTAGTAATTCTTCTCCC